AGTTATTCATAACATTGCCATATTACCCTTGAATATCCATAGGATCTGTGGCGATGCCACCTTCTTCATTCTGATGTTGACTATTATTATCTTTTCTCTTTTTTTCTTGATCAGTCTGGCCAGAGGCTTATCAGTTTTGTTGATATTTTCAAAGACCCAGCTTTTGATTTCATTTATTTTCTCTAATGTTTCTCTGTCTTTAATTTCATTGATTTCTGAATTTAACTTAGTTTTTGCTTACTTCTGCTTGCTTCAGGTTTAATTTGTTCATCTTTTTCTATTTAATTGGTTTTCTGTAATCACTGTCTTAGCAATGGCCCGTATATTTTTTTTAAAATTTTTATTCAATTCAAAATGTTTTCCAATTTCATTTGTGATTTTTTTTAAACCAGAGAGTATTTAGAAATATATTGTTTAGTTGCCAAATAATATGTGAATATTTTAGCTATCTTTCCAGATATTGATTCCTAGGTTAATTTCCTTATGGTCACAAAACATAACTTCTATCATTAGAATATTTCAAAATTTGTAGGTGTTTGTTTTATCACCCATAATGCTACATTTTATGATGAATATCTCATTGCATTTGAAAAGAATCTGTATTCTGCTTTTGTAGAGTGGAGTGTTTTATACTCAGACCAGGTTGATTTATAGTTTTAAGTATTCTATTTTGTTGCTAATTATCTGTTTATTCTGTCAGTTACTGAAAGAGAAGTATTGAAGTCTCCTATATATTTTTTGGATTTGTCTATTTGTCTATGTATTTTGAAGCTGTTTTATAAGATGCTACATACACATTTAGGATTATCTTCTACTTGATGATTTGAGCCCTGTATTATTATTATGTAACATCCCTCATTATCACTCATAATATTCACTGTTCTTATGTCTCCTTTGTCTGATATGAATATAGCCTCTTGAGCTTTCTTTTGATTGGTGTTTGTCTGGAATACCTTTTGGTATCCATGTGCTTCAACCTACATAGTCTGCGTTTAAAGAGGGTTTCTAGAAGACAGCATAGGTCTTGCTTTTTTTCTTATATCCAATTTGACATTCTCTATCTGAGTGTTCATTCCATATAAATTTGCTGTAATTATTGATATGATTGGATTTAAATCTACCATCTTCCTGGTTGTTTCCGTTTCTCTGTCTCTTCTTTTTATTTTGGGTTTTTTTTTTCCTTCTTTTGGATTAATGAACCATTTTAATGATTCTGTTTCTCACCGGTATTGGCTTACTAGTTTTACCCTTTCTTTTAGTGATTGCTCTAGGATTTACAGTGTACACTTTTAACTTATCAAAGTCTATTTTCAAATAATATTATACTGTCGGCCCTCTGTATCCACGAGTTCCATATTCAACCAACTGCAGATTGAAAATATTCAAGAAAAAACAAAAGTTCAAAAAGCAAAACTTGAATTTGCCCCTTGCTGAGCACTCTGTTGAATCCCCATGAATGAAGTGATGTGTGGGCATCCCCTGCTGAAGCCTCCTGCCACTTCCAGATCCTCAGTCTGTCTCCAGCACTCGTTGTTTGAGCATCGTTCACCTCATGTCTTGACTTTATTCCCTAAACAGTATAGTATAACAAGTATTCACATAGCATTTACATTGTATTAGGTATTATAAGTGATCTAATCTAGAGATGATTTAAAGTGTACAGGAGGATGTGCGTAGGTTATATGCAAATACTACGCCATTTTATTTCAGGGACTTGAGCATCCTCTGATTTTGGTATCTGTGGGGGATCCTGGAAGCAATCCCCCAAGGACTGAAGGACGACTGTACCTTTTTCTGCTTCCCATCTTTTGTGCCATTGTTGTCATACAAGTCTTTGGCAGTTTCTACCTGTTCAGATCCTTGAAGGCTGCAAGGTTTTACTAATCTAGATTTATTAAGAATTTCCCCTTTCAGCCTGGGCCAGGACCTGGGCCTGCCTGAAAGCAGAGGCTTTCCCAGCCCTTAGGTACCACTGTCCACCAGGCCTTGTCATGCAGAAGTTCTGGTCTGAGACAGCACAGGCTGAGATATTGGGGGCAGCCACCATCAAGAAATCCCTCTTAGGTACCAGAACTCGCTTGCCAGCATGGATTCCTCAAGTTGGGACTGCATAACTAAAGCAGTTGCAGGTTTATTATTTTTACAGCTTTTTTCCTGAAAATGATTTGTAATTCTATGTGCAGCACTTTGCCCTGACTGAGATGTGTGCTCCACAATAAAAACCAAATCTAATATTAAAAAAATTTATGCATATTTTATAAATCACATAGAAGTGTAGTTTAATTTTTCGTGTTTTGAGCTTTATATACATGGAAACATTTGCGTTTTTTTTTTTTTATACCATTTTAAACTATTCATTGTGTTTGTGTGATTTCATTCTCACTATTATATATAGTTGTAGTTCTTTCATTTCACTGTTGTAATTTTATTGTGTGACTATACTTGCTTTATTTTATTCTGCTACTGAAAGATATTTGGGTTTTTTCTAATTTGGAGCTATAGCAAGCAGTACTACTACAAACATTCTTGTACATGTCTTCAGGTGTATATTTCTACAATATCTTCCAGAATATATACCTAGGAGTGAAATTGCTAGGTCATATATGCATATCTTGAACTTCGCTAGATTTTGTTAAACTGTTTTTCATAGTAATTTTTACTAATTCATACTCTCACAAATGGAGTTCCTTTTATTGGTATCTCTGCCAATACTTTGTATTGTTGGTGTTTTTAATTTTTTCTAACATAGTGGTTGGTGAGCAGTGTTACAGAGGTGCTGGAGACAAGATCAGTTAACAACAACAAAAGGCAACACCTCTGCACTCCTTAAATTTACATTCTAGTGGTAGTGTTATATAATCTTGTTGTGGTCCTCGTTTTTAGTGGGAGGGTTCGTTGTTTTTTTCATCTGTTTTATGTTAAATTTCTTTTATGGTATTAAGTCTACTTAGTAAATTGTGCTATTTTTTTTTCCTTAGTTTTTTCCTAATTGTATCATTGTATTGGGATGTTATGCTTATTTCTTTTTTCTTTTTTTTATTGTACTTTAGATGAATGTTTACAGAACAAATAGTTTCTCATTAAACGGTTAGTACACATATTGTTTTATGATAATGGTTAACAACTCCACGACACGTCAACACTGTCCCTTCTCAACCTTGGGTTCTCTATTACCAGCTTTCCTGTCTGCTCCTGCCTTCTAGTCCTTGTCCCTGGACTGTTGTGCCCCATTAGTCTTGTTTTGTTTTATGGGGCTGTCTAATCTTTGGTTGAATGGTGAACCTTGGGAGTGACTTCATTAATGAGCTACAAGGGTGTCCAGGGTCCATGCTCTCGGGTTTCTTCTCTCTCTGTCAGGCCAGTAAATCGGTCTTTTTTTGTGAGTTAGAATTTTGTTCTACATTTTTCTCCAGCTCTGCCTAGGACCCTCTGTTGTGATCCCGGTCAGAACAGTCAGTGGGTGGTAGCTGGGCATTATCTAGTTTGTACTGGACTCAGTCTGGTGGAGGCCTTGGTAGTTGCGGTCCATTAGTCCTTTGGACTAATCTTTTCCTTGTCTCTTGTTTTCTTCATTCTCCCTTGTTCCCTAAGGGGTGAGACCAGTGGCGTATCTTAAATGGCTGCTCACAAGCTTTTAAGACCCCAGACGCTACTCACCAAGGTAGAATGTAGAACATTGTCTTTATAAACTGTTATGCCAGTTGAGCTAGATGTTCCCCGAGACCATGGTCCCCACAGCCTTTTGCCCAGCAATTTAGTCCCTCAGGGAGTTTGGATGTGTCTATGGAACTTCCATGACCTTTCCTTGTACAAGTTGTGCTGGCTTCCGCAGTATTGTGCGCTGTCTTACCCTTCACCAAAGTTATCACTTATCTCTTGTCTATTTAGTATTCCCCCAACCCCTCCCATCCCTCATAACCGACAGATTGTTTCTTTTTATGTGTAAACTTCTTCATGAGTTTTTACAGTAGAGGTCTCATACAGTATTTGTCGTTTTGTGATTGACTTATTTCACTCAGCATAATGTCCTCCAGTTTCATCCATGTTATGAGATGCTTCACAGATTCATCATTGTTCTTTATCGTTGGGTAGTACTCCATTGTGTGTATGTACCATAGTTTGTTTATCCATTCATCTGTTGATGGGCATGCTTATTTGTTTTCTTTTCTTTCTTTCTCTTTTTAATCACTGGTTGTTGAATAAGTTGGTTTTTTTCTTTTTTTTTTAAATAGCTACTGGCAAGAAAATTCTGTGATGGGGACAGGACATGAGGAGTTTCAGGTTTGCTGCTTTTTACAACGTAAAGGTTCCTTTTTTTTTTTTTTTCCCGTTACCACACAGCCTTCTTACAAAAGTAGCTCCTTGTGTGATTCTGTTTGTAAATCTGCCTCCTTTGCCTCTCTGGGTGCTTCTCCTGCCAGCCTAGCTCATCTGTATTCCTAACCCTCTAACCTTCACTTTCTGAGATCTGGGACTTCTTTCCAAGGCTTCTCATGCCTGTTTCCTCCAGGAAGTCCTGCTCCATCTGAGTGCTCCTGCAGCCTGTAGAGCGCGTATGAATCTAGCAGTTATAAAACCAGATCAAGAAGCCAGTTGCCGTCAAGTTGATTCTGCCTTATGGTGACTATATGTTGCAGAGTAGAACAGCTCCACAGGGTTTTCAAGACTGTGACCTTTTAGAAGCAGATCACCAGGCCTTTCTTCTGAGATGCCTCTGGGTGGATTCAAACCACCAACCTTTTGACTAATAGTTGAGTGCTTAACCATTTGCACCACCCAGGGACTCCACTAGCAATTATACCAGCTTCTTAATACCAGTGAAAACAACAACATGGAGTTTCATTGTTTGTAGTTTTTCTGTTTTTTCTCCATTTACTTTTGAATTATTTCAAATAATAATTTGGAGATAGAAAATGCTGATTTACTTAGCTATGCTGATACCAGAAATCTTAACTTATCTTGGTTATTTTAACTATAACTTAATTTTTTTCTACTTGCAGTTATAAAAAATTTATATCTCTGAAAAGAGTCGATACTGATATAAGGCCGAAGATCAGTTTAAATTTTAATACGAAAGGTATTATTTTATTTTTATACGTCTCGTATTGAAAACTACATTAACACGTGTGACTTCCTCTGTAAAGTATAATGCCATTAACAACCACGTCTTTATTTGTATTTGTCATGTACTGGGGTTGGGTTAACGCGAGCAAGCAGCACTTGGGGCAGGCAGGAACCCACAGACAGAAAGGTCAGCTGGTATTTCACAGTGCATTGGCATCCTGGAGAGAGGCATGCTATGTCTGGTGCATAACTAGAACTCACAGTGAGACTGGTTTCAGCAGAGCTTCCCTACCAACCCCTCCTCTCTTGTTAAGGAAGCGTGAGAAAAGCCTTACATGGAAAAAATGAACATTTTGGTCTCAGGGCCAACTAGCCTAACCTTAGGTGCTATCTCTTTAGGGACATGCTAGAAAATGTCAGCTGCTCAGAGCTTGGAGGCCTTAGGGGCTCTGGTCTCATGGAAGGGTAGTTTGGGGCAGTGCTTCTTGCTAGGGGGAATGGATGTCCCTGATCCCAGCAAGCTCCTTACTTGGCAATCCAATGAAAGCTCCCTGAGTCATTTCCTTATCTCCATACTGTATGTCATATAAAACAAGTAAGAATATTAATATAAAAATCTCAATTGAAACAGAATCATGAAGGATAAAATAAAACTGCTTTTTATGATGAACACATAATTTGATATTTTTCTCATAAAAAAATACCATCAAATACCAAATTCTAGCTGCTTGCTAATATATCTCAGTCTACTCTCCTCCTTTGGAAGTACTATTAAGTTAGAAGAATACCAAGTATTTCAGTCTTATGCCTTATTCCATTTCTTGATGAAATAGATATTTTATTTTTTGAGGGGTAAGAACATGAAGATCCGTGCTTCTCAAACTTTAATAAGCATTTGAATCATCTGATGGTTTCATTAAAATTCAGTTGCCATTAAGTACGTCGGGGGTAAGGCCAGAGATTTTACACTTCTAGCAGGTTCCTAGGTGTTCCATGAACTATACTTTGAGTAACAAGTCATCAGAACACTTTATGTTTCTTGCTATAGATCTTCACTGTCTAATAATAAAGTCACTAGCTATATGTGGCTGTCAAAATTTAAATTAATTAAAATTAAATAAAATAAAAAATTCAGTTCCTTAGACTAGCAATATGTCTAGTGCTAAATGGCTAGTGGACAGTGCCAACATAAAACATTTTCATCATCACAGGAAGTTCTGTTGACAGTGCCGATCAGGATAAAGTATAAATATCATTAAACACCAGTGGTTACCATTCTTGGCAAACTTCAGAATTTTCAAAGGCATACTACTTTGATGCCATTTGATTGCCAAAGCCCATTGACTTGAGCAAACCTTGGAAAGGCTTCTGTGGTGACTAGTCTTTGTGGTTAGTTTTGCTTGGAGAAACCTACTGTTTTTGTCTGGGTTTTTAACAGCGAGCCAGACAGCAGTGTGCTTTGTTGTGCACTGGCTATGCCAAAGCACACATTCTTGAATGTACTTCATTCTTTCGGAATAGTCCCTGGCCTACAGGAGCTAAGGATGTAATGAGAGAAACTACATTAAAAAAGAGGATTAATTCATAATGTCTTGACTTTTCAAAATTTATTTTCAGATGAAATGCCTATCTTCAAACTTGATTATAATTATTTCTATCATCTGCTTCAAATAATTATTATTTCTGGTACTGACATTGTCCGGCAAATATTTGATGAGGCTATGCCACCATCTCTTTTGAAAAAAGAGCTTCTTATACACAAGAATGTGCTGGAGCCCTTCTACAACCATCTTTGGACCAATCACCCTTTGGGTGGAGCATGGCATCTGCTTTATCCCCCAAACAAGGAGCTACCACAGTCCAAACAGTTTGACTTATACCTCCTGTTAGCTCTGATAAAACATTTGAATGTATTTCCTGCACCCCAAAAAGGCTGGAATATGGAGCCACCTTCTTCTGACCTCTCTAAGTCTGCAGACATCCTGAGGCTGTGCAGACACAGAGATGTCCTCCTTAGTGAGGTTTTGATGAACGGCCTCAGCGAGTCACAGTTCAATTCAACTTGGAAAGAAGTTTCAGAAATTCTTCTTCGTCTTGGGATGAAGCAAGAGGATATTGACAAAGTGAAAGAGAATCCCGTTGAGAATATCTCCCTCGATTACCACCAGCTGTCCGTCTACCTAGGCATCCCTGTACCAGAAATCATCCAGAGGATGTTATCCTGCTATCGACAAGGTACAAGATACTTCTTTACTTCAGGCAGTAAAGATTTACTGAGTGTCTGCTAGGTGCCCAGCACAGTGCTGAGGGCAGGGGATTCAGTGAGCTCACATTCTCGGGAGGATGGGCTCATCGAGAGGCTAATAGAAGATATAATGCTCGAGATTTTTCCAGAATGCCATGGGGAGTCCTAGCATAAGGGAATCTGGAAGAGTTTTCTGGAGAATATAATATTTAAGGATTTCTGAAATAGCATATAGAAGCTGGCTAGGTGAGGAAGAGGGGAAGGATGTTTCAGAGGGAGACAAAAATGAAGGCATACAACAAAAACATGCACTGTAGTGCAGGGAGCTGACACGTTTGGGATTACTGAGGCTAGAGCAGGAGAGAGTTCATAGACAGAATACATAAAGAGGATTTCTCTTGCCATGCTCAGGAGTTTGTGTTTTCCGAAAGAAAATATTGATGATTTTTAGGTAGAGGAGTTTTATCGTTTCTCAAAAACTAAGGATACCTAAATACAAGAACCTAAGTTCAAGGATGTACTTTTAGACACAGTGGGTGTATGTTTCTCCTCCTTTTAACCAAAAGCTTGAGGTTTAATTTAGACTTTTGCCAGCTATACACTGGCTGTAATTAAAAAAAAGAAGAAAAGTAATGTCAGTACAAGTGTTTGAGTGCAGTGGTATTCGTGTTGTTGTTAGGTGCTATCGAGTCAGTTGCGACTCATAGCAATCCTGTGTACAACAGAAGGAAACACTGCCTGGTCCTGCGCCATCCTCACAATCATTATGCTTGCATCCATTGTTGCAGCGACTGTGTCAGTCCATCTAGTTGAGGGTCTTCCTCTTTTTTGCTGTGCTATTCTTAGACCTTGTCAATTGATGTAGGAAAGAGTTCAGACCTTCTGTCCCACATCTGGGGTGAGCTTCTCATCTCTCCTGGTAGAAAATGGAGTTCAGGGCGTGCCAACATTACTGAAAGCTTTGTTGTGCTATTCTAGGTGACTTTTCCTGGTCCCAAGTTTTTATTATTCATACTATGAAATGAGCAACTGATGGCTACAACCTTCCAAGTATCCAGTAATTGTTGAACTGGTTCACATTTTTCTCAGAGACAATTACTAGGTCCCAATCTCAGTCCTCTTACAAAAACTTTGGGATACCATGCTAATTTTTTTTAAGGCAACATGTAAAAAAAAATTGGCGTAGCAGAGCTTATGAAAATACCGCGGAGGGGGCTGTGGTTGGCAAGCAGATGTAGAAGGTGTGCATTATTTGCGTAAAAATATGGTAGTAAGAATTTGCTATTTGGTTTAAAGTGTTTATGTTTTAGGCATTATCTATTATGAACCATAAAATTTTATTTTTCTTTCTCTAATCTTGGTTGTGTAACCTTTATATTACAATCTAAAGATTGTGTCTGTCTAAACTGGATTGATGAATGAAGCTGGTTATTTTTACAGTTATAATTGGTACAGTATAAAGTTCTGATTTTTCTTAGTCCCACCCAGATATTTGATGGTTGCATTTGCAACTGTATATCTAAATGTTTTCTTTATGTGCCATAGGAATTGCTCTGCAGTCAATAACAGGCTGTCAATGTAAGTATATTTAAAAACAAAATGTCAAAGTGACCTTTTAACTTGGAATACCTAAGGGACACCTGTGGGATTTTTGCTTGGTCAGATAAATTGTAACTGTTAAAATCTTGGAAAATTGTGTGGTTAAATTACTGCTGGTCAGCTGAACCTCATGTGAACCTTCCTCTGCCCTCTGAGTGTGTGCCCTGGGGCTCACCAAGGATAGTGCTCTGACCTCTGGACCCACAGGACACTTCAGCAGGCAAAATCTACCTGCTTGTTCTGCCTGCCCATTTGTGCTGCTGCTCAGCTTGTGTCACTTTTATCTGGTTAACTAAACATTGCTATAGCTATATATTTTTTTCCAAGTAGTAAGCTATTTTTATTTTAAATTTCCATTTTTGTGCTCTTGTTTTTTAAAAAATATAATTCAGATCCTAACATTAAAATTACACTTAAGAAAACAACGCTGGTTTTTTTGTTTGGTGTTGAATTTTGCACCATCTGTGGCCATCAGACAAAGTCCTCGAGTTTTGAGTCCTGAGTCTCAGGGCAACATTAAGGAGCATGGTGTCAAAGATGAGGTCAAGTAATAGGGAGCTGATCCCCTTTCACAGTTTCGATTGTAAAAAAGAAGAAAAAAGGAAAAAAAATAAGTCTTCTATCTCCTTTTCTTTGTTTCAGATTTATGTCCTAAAATAATACTAGTTGCAGTATTAATAGAGTCAATTTCAAGACACTCAAGAACTTAGTATTTAGAGAGTATTCAAATTCTTATGTTCATATGATACCAGTAAGATATCTTAGCATTCAGGCTCATACTGATTGGTTCCAGGCTAGTATACATACTTCTTATTTGATCATTGACTAATTGGCATTACATTTTCATCTAGTAATTGAACAGAATAAGATGTTTTCTATTTTTATTTCTGGGATAGTGTTTTTTGTTGGGTAAACATTTATAATAATGATAAGAGGTGGAAATTGCTTGCATCCAAATTTTGAGTGTTTTGTGTTTAATATTTAGGTATTGAAATAGAAGAGTTACAGAGTGAGAAAGCAGAACCAAGTCCACCTCTCATGGAGTACAATATAAATATGAATTCAGATGCTGATATACAGTTAGTAGAAATGAATAAAGATGTGGCATCGATACCCAGTGACTCTTCAACAGAATCTATGAAAGATCTCCAGGAAGTACAAACTTTCATTAATGTTTGAATTAGAAAAGCTCAGTCGAGGCCTTTATTTTGTTGCAGGCGCTGTACTTAAACATCCCAGACAATCTTTGCTTATATTTATCATAGTGTTCATGCAGAACTTGAATTTGAATGGTTCTCTCCACAGTACTTCCATAATCTTTCCTGCTGTGACCATTTATTCTGCCATCATTTATTGAACACTTACTATAGGCCAGGCACTGTGTTAGATTTCTGAACACACTTCATCTTCCTGAGCCGTGAGAGTGGGTGTGGGAGGAGAACAGAAGAAGGCATAGAGAGGAATAGAAGGAGATAGAAGGGAAGAGAAAACTGAGGTAATTTCAGTGTCATTTGCTCAGAAGAGAATTAAAATCATCATGGGTGGGATCTCAGTATTTCTTTACAGATCTAAGTTGTAATTGTTATTATATTGTCACTAAATTCTTCTTAGGCTTAATGATTCATCTTATAAAAATGAGTATGATTTTTTTAAATCTTCCTCCTTCTTTACTCATGCATGCATGTGTACATGTGAGGATCTGGGAGCACTCTCTCAGCAGCCCGCTTATTGGTGTTAGCTGTTACTCCTTTATACATCAGTGATTTCTCAAGGGCAGAAGACAGAGATCAAAATGAAAATAATTAAAGTGAAAATAACTGATTCCATAGAATCCAGGAAGAAAATATGATATCTAATATTAGAAGACAAAGGTCTCAGTAGTTAGAAAAAATATGTTTTCTAAAATAACCCTTTATACAGTTTGAATTGCATATTAAATGAATGATTTATTTCTTCCCTAACAGGTTAGGAGTAAACCAAAGAAAAAGAAAAAGACTAAGAGTAAAAAGGTAAGAAACTGTATGAGTATTACAATAGAGGGATATCAGATTATGAATACCTAAATTGAATACATGGATTCACTGTTAGAATTTAAGATTAATCCAGGTAGACGTATAGCGTAAATGCCTTATAAGTGCCAGTAACTTGTTGAATATATGATTATAGAGAAGTCTAAGTATGTTAGATCTGAATGATTTAAACTTACTGTGCCATTCTTTACTTCCCTAAATTATAATTTATGCATTTGAATACACAGTGAACCCTGTGAGAGCCGGAAGTCTATGGGACTGCCTTGTTTTTCCAGGTCTCGCAAGTTTTCGCCTTTGACAGGGTGCAGTCACCACTTTTCTGTCACTATCTATTTAGTGGAAGATATTTGAGTTTTCCTTCTCTGACAGGTTTCTGCATTTTTTGCAGGTTTTACTGTGCAAATAAAGACACTGAAATTTCAGTAAAATCGGCATACCACTTTCATTTTAAAAATGCATACTCTGTTTTAATAACAGCTTCTTTTTCTCATATCTCCACTGATATGTTCAGAAGCATTTTTCAAAACCTTAGGTAATCTTAATATTCTTCTTTATACCTGAGAGTCTGCCAGTAAAGTAATACTGTACAAAAAAGGTATACAATTAAGAAGTCACCTTCATTTTCTCTTCCTTGATTTTTGCCAGTTGAAAAATGAGCAAGTTACTATCTGTAGCAAAGATTTAGCAAAATGTCTCTTAGTTGCTTAGAAAAGTACAAGAGATGCCAGAAGTCTTTTTTTAAAATCAAGCACGTGGGCTAATCATTATGCTATGCAAAATTTGTGGTGAAAAAAAAGTAAGTTTTGTGGCCTGAAACATATATTTAAGATCTAGATATACTCTGTATATTATATTATAAACTGAGTCAGACTATTTACCCAACTACAATCTGACCAACCCATGTATTAGTCATTTGGAAGTATGCATGAATTTTAATCATAAATGAAATGAAAGATGAATTTTAAAAATACTGATATCAAGAACAAAATAAGGATTATTTATACTCTAATCTGATAAAAAAATCATACCATTTTCATGTTTATTATCATAACCATCATTTACTGTAACTTACTATTTCAATCAAAAGTTACTTTGAAAATTAAATTTTATTTTTAAAAGACATGAGTATAAAGATTGTTTCTTACTTTTGGATAGTTCTTGTCTGATAAAACACAGCCTGTTTGGTCAAGTTAGCTGATATTTTTTATTCTTGCCAAAACATAATGAAGTCCCACGTCTAATACTACATAAAGCTGGCCAGGTAAATCATAGAATGTCAGACCATGAAAGTGCATTCCAAGTCTATGTAGTGTGCCATGGCTATTTCACCTTTACTTCCAAAAAATGAAAGATGGTAATACTCAGATTCTCAATTTTGGTTAAGTGGAAAGCCCTATTTCTAGGTCAAATTGAAATTAAACAAAAAAAACCACAACTAGAAATAAATGTAAACACCACTCAAAAATTCATACTGCTAGTAACATTATCAACTTGTTGTTAAATGTCAGCAAGCGTTTGGGTTTTTTTTTTTCCCTTGTTTCTTTTAGCATCCTAAGTTTTCCTCCAATTTATTTCATTAAAAGAGGTTGAAATACTTTTGAAAATAAGAAAATTTTAGCAAGATGAAATTTGGACATTAGAAGAGAGATTTTGTATCTTATATCTTTTGTCAAAAATTTAACGTGTAGAACCTAAAAAATGCTAAAATTTGTGCATATGATTATTTCATAGAGAATAATATGACTCATATACTCAATTACTGTTATGATAGATGCAAAGAATTATCTAATTATAGTGTAATCAACCAGTTTAAAAAGTTAAGTCAATCAGATCATCTAATCAAGATTTTTCCTCATGAAAAATTCCAGCATATAAAAATTTGTTTGTGTATGTAGAGTGATGACAAAGTCCATCAAGTTATGTCTTCTGTTAATTATTTGTTTTACAACATCTCTACCTAACACTAGTTGTAGTCCTAAAAACTTCTATGGAAAACATGAAGAAAAGGTAAAATTTGTGTAGCAAATAAAGGGGACAGTATAGATAACTTCTAACTAGCATGTAGAAGTTAGAGACATGTAGCTACTCTTATCTGCTCAGTTTCTTCAGTTAGGTATTTCAGTATTTAATATTTAGCTTCTAACATATTCAAGTTGTAAATAACTCTTTTTGTGGCTAATTAGACTTCTCCAAGGGGAATTAAGGGTTAGTAATAGAAAAGGGAGGTAAAGCAGATAGGTAGAAGAGTAGAAGACTTTTCTAATGAAGTGTTGGGGAAAAAAACAAGATGACAGGAAGTAAATCCAGGCCTTCAAATTGGGTGGCCTCTTTAAAGGAGGGAGGTTGCTGAGATGCCAGTAAGAGAGGCTGATACCTGCTTTGGCATAAAGTTTTCATGGGAAGAACTAAAAAGGAGTTTTAAAAATACTTAATCAACTACACTAGATACGTTCATTATGAACAACCAGAATTCTTTTCAACTCAGGTATATCCAAGTGTACTAACAGGTAGGAGTCAGTAATTCTAAATCATAGGATCAAATTTACAATGGACGTTGAGCATAAGATCAAACATTGAAACATGAAAATCCTCTTAGTATACAGACAATAAAGCAAAACAAATTTACAAGTCCATTATTGAATCCATTATTGAAAAGAGACTTTTAAGTTTCTTGGAAGCAAGGGATGGAAGTAGAAATTAATACTGTAATACAGGCAGTCTAGGGGCTACAAAAGAGTTCCGTTCCTAAGTCTGTCTTTAAGTTGAATTTGTACATAAATCAGAATAGTTAGGTGTGGTTCGTATGTAATCTCAGGTAATCAAATATTTGTCTTAGTATATAGCATATAGTGAACCTTTCTATGCATAAAAAACATTAAGGAAACACTTCCAGATACACTAAAACATCTTTAAAATAATAATACAGTAAAAAATAATAATGTTTTGATGTGTGTCACCAAGTAGTGCCCATTTGTTATTACGGACCGTTGTATTTGCCTCGAATTTTTAATATAATAGGCTTTATGGGGGTTGGCTCATAACTGCAGGTTGTACGTAAGTTGGAGGTTCATAATCTGGGACCACCTGTACTATTGATTTAAAATGTGTTAATTGTCATTGGTATTACTTTATTTAGCATGTTGTCTTTATAGTTTGATATTAATGAACATAAAATCTAAGGTTTTTAAAATTTTTCCTTGTAATCTCCTTAACACTTCTTTTTCTATAAGATTCTTCATGTCTCAGACTTTCTTCTTATGTGTAGGTTTTCAGGAGCCTTTGTGTTAGTGTGGGGTACTGTGAATGGGAATTGCATACATATTGTCTTGAGATATTTCAGTAGGTCCACACTCAAACCCAATACTCACCTTAATATCTGAATCAGTGATTTTTTTAAAGTTATGAGTCGTGACTCTGTAAAACCAAAAAACCCTGTTGCCATCAAGTTGATTCCGACTCATAGCCACCCTATAGGACAGAGTAGAACTGCCCCATAGGGTTTCCAAGGAGTAGCTGGTGAATTCAAACTGCTGATGTTTTGGTTGTATATATATACACGCATACATACAGCTGTAAAATATATCTCTTCCTTGGTTTGAGGTAAAAAGTTTGGGGAAGACTGCACTGACTGCAGCCCAATCACTATGCTGTGCTAATCTAGTTGGTTATAAATTACTAATTCTTTATGCTCTTTTTCAGAATAAAGAATCAAATGAAGAGCAAGCGTAAGTGCTAGTTTATTTTATTTTTAGATTTTTCTTAGTATTTTCAAAGTGTGCTTTGCCAGTGTAATACAGCCTTGCTTTGGGAAGTGTTCTCATCGAAGGGAAGAAAGGACATTTCCTTGTCTTAATAGGTAGTTGCCTTCTTACGAAATATGACAAAAAGTTAATTATCATTTGCTTTGGAAGAATAAAATCTCTCACAGTTTTTCTATTTAGTCTGCTCAAGAGCCAGCTGATGCTAACGTCTTCATTCAGGGACTAACTTGGTCCAGCATGCAGTCTTTTAAAATATAGTCTGAAGTGTGATTAGCCAAATACAGACTAAGCATGACTTAGCCTTCAAGGACAGAGATCATTTGTATGTTCCAAATGATGGCTTTTACAAAAGAGGTTTTTTGTTTGTTGTTGTTGTTTGTTTTTAGTTTGGATTGGTTTATTGTTGTTTTGTTTTGTCTTAATTTAACCCAAGGATTTTTTATCCCAGTTGTTGACAGTGAATTTTGAATGCTTAATGGAAACTTTTTAATGTCAAAAGGTCATTGTGAGAGGATTGTTCAGCCTTGTGATTAATGATAGTGCACTAGATAAAGGAAAGGTGAAAGACATCGTGATAATAGTCCCACCAAAGTGTTTTCACTGAGTATTAGTAACTTTAGAGAATGCACTTTGAGGACATAATTAAGAGACTTTTAAAATGGCAGCAAGAACATATTTCATTATTACTTATAGTTGATATTTTCTCATTGATAATGGCTGTGACTCACTTGGTACGCAAATGGTTCATCATCCAGGATGGATTTCACTTTCTTTGGCAACTAAAGAACAATGGGTTTTTTCAAGCTATGTCTGGATGCCATAAAAATTACTCACTAAAGAGTGAGACAGTGCCATCAATCATTTTGCTCATTTTGCCGACAGTGGAGACCCAAACCTGGGTGATGATAAAATTACCCAGGGAGCCTTACTTTTAAATGAGAATTTTCAAATATACACAACAGTAAAGAGAGTAATATTTATACCTATCATCCTGATTCAATAGTTATCATTGTTTTTTGCCGTATTTGCTTCAAATATCCCTTAGCATATTTTCCTTTGTTGAAATGTTTTCAAATCCAAACACAGAAGCATGTAATTTTACTCCTACATGCTTCAGTTTGCATCTCTTAAAAATATGGACATTTTCCTATATTATCCTAATGCTATTATCATACTTTAAAAACTCGGCAATAATCTTGGGGGGAGGTTCTAAAAATACAGATTTAACTACATTTTTACAGTTGTGGAGGTGCCTGGGAAAATGTTTTTTAAAAGCTCTTCAGATAATTTGGAAAACTAATTGGGTTTGGGAGCTGCTGGTCTATGCAAGCAATTGATTTCATTAAACTTTCCAAAATATTTAGGTCATTCAAGACTGCCACAGTAATACTTAATGACTGTTTATATAGGTTTTACAAAGTATCCTGTGAGTATTAGATGTTATTTTTTTCTAGGTCTCAGTGGCCTAAAAAAGTAATAATCTGTCCTAGACTTATGTATTTTATTTCTATTGACTAGTAAAATCAAGTAATTTATATCATGCTGTAAGTAAAAGTACTGTTCCATGTTGCCATTCAATGGGATTAAGAAGGAAATTAATAGCTAATAAATAGTAGGCTAACTGAAATTTAAAATTTAGAGATAGGCATGTAATTGGTTAACTGACATTGTACCTATAGTCTTTTCATTCTTTTGTCAGTTGTTCCTAGTTACTGAAATACGTGTTTTCACTACAGTTTCTTCAAAGTCATGTTAGAAAAGAGACTTGTTTTTAAATCTACTTTCTGTTGCTGTTTGTAGACCTCTGTTTAAAGGTACACTTGACCTAAAACATTGAAGTTGAGTAAACCAACCTACCTGTCAAGAATGTGGTGATGATAAAATGATACAACAGATGTGGAAATGCTTGTCAATGTTTCCCAAAGTATTGTTTCCTAAAGTAACTGATATTAATAGCTGTAATTTGAAAAATGAACTCCATGGTCTCATAATTCTTTAAAACGCTGGAATGAGCAGAATTAAACAGGTACCTCGACTGAGTGCTATCTTAAATATGCTAAATGCACTGTGAATCTTCAAGAGAAAGACATAGTATGAGCACTGTTCAAATTTTATTTGACCATGAGCTACTCTGATGGCACGAGATCAGTACAATACCAATTTGGGAAACAATGGCTTAGCTGAAAAGCACTATACAATTTTAAAAGATAACATTGATTGTGTCACCATGATAGCCCACATATGGTAGTGAAGGAAGAGCAGATGAAGAAGGAGCAAGGAAGTCCACACCCAGTCAGTAGATATATCAATGATGATTCAAGTGATGCTCAAAAAGACTCTGCAGCTGAAGACAAGATCTATAGTCTGGATGAATTGCATATTCTGGGCATGATAGAGCAGGTAAGCCTGACTGGAAAGATGTTTTCTTCCAGAAACAGTTGTTACTTTGTTTTACCCATGATTCATTGAATAGCATGTTAGCACAGTGGTTTATACCGTCTGTCAGGAGGAAAAAAAAAGCAAGGAAGGGACAGAGAGGTGGAGGGAGGAAGGAAAAGAAGAAGAAAAAACAACCTTAGAAGATGGAAACTTTCACTTTAGAGCTCAAACAATTTCCCAGCTTTAACTATTGGGCAGAGTTGATTATAAATGCATTCCTTGCAAAGGTTTTCCAATACCATAAGAAAAAAATAAAAGACAAAACTGGCATAATCTCATTGGATTAAGTGCCATGAGAAAAATAGTTTTGTAAAGCAAAGGTATTTTCATCACTGTTATTTTTCTTTAAATCTGGTTGTTTCCATGAAATGCCTTCAGAAATATTAACACACAGCAGTTGTTTGCTTGGGTTCCTTTCCTGGTAGTAGTCACTGCTTAAAATGATGTATCCGTATGTGAAGAGGTGTGTGAACATGTTTTAAAGTGTTCAACAGAGCAAATGTTTTGTTTTGTTTATGAAAAACCACTCGTGTTACATACCCATGAGCAGTCCATACTGAGGTAATTTTTTGATAACTTACTCCATGGTTTACATATAATGGCATACCATGTAGGCATATTGATTATCTTAAAGGTACGGTTAATACAGATGATTCCCTGGCTGTTATTCACACAACATTCATGTGTTTGTTATGTAATTTTTTCTCCTCTCTAGTTACAATATTGATAAGTGTACTGTAACTGAAATACCCTGTTTTTAGCTTTGGATGTCACATTAAAGTTGACATGGGGAGCCTCTGGTTTTCATTCGACAGCCAGGAGAACTATAAGAACTCGAAAACAGAATCATAGTAATACTGTAGACCTTTCTAAAAATGTTTGCTTATTCATTTATTCAAAAGGCATTATTTAGCACTTACTGTCTGTTAAGAACGAGTCCTGGTGGCACAGCGGTTAAGTGCTCAGCTGCCAACTGAAAGGTTGGCAGTTCGAACCCACCAGCCACTCCAGGGAGAAGGATGTGGCAGTCTGCTTCTGTAAAGATTGCAGCCTTCGGAACCCTGTGGGGCAGCTCTACTCTGTCCTGTAGGGTTGCTATGAGTCAGAATCAACTCGAAGGCAATGGGTCCGTGTCTGTCAAGAGCTATGCTGCTAAGACACAGTCCCTGACATCATAGTGTTTATAATCCAGTGGAGAAGCTGAACATTAAACTGAAATGATACAGTGTAATAATTAAGTACTTGGGCTTTGAAATCAGACTGAGTTAGAATTCAGACTCCTCCACTTACTGTCTGTATGAGCTTAGGCAAGTTACTTAAGCAGTTTTATCATCTCTCAAATGGGAATAATGAGTACCTACCAGATAAGAGTCTCATGACCATGAAATGCATTGTACAGAAAGCTCTTAAAACTTGGGAAGCACACAGGCCAGCTACTGTGGTGCTGTTTGGCAAATACTGTAACGGGGAAGAGGAGCCCTAGTGGCGCAGTGGTTAAGCGCTCGGCTACTAACCAAAAGGTCGGTGGTTGGAACCCACTAGCTGCTCCACAGGAGAAAGATGTGGCAGTCTACTTCCGTAAAGATTTACAGCCTTGGAAATCCCGTGAGGCAGCTCTCCGTCCTGTAGGATCCCTATGAGTCGGAATTGACGGCAGTGGGTTTGGTTTTCTTGATTTTATAATTGGAGAGAAGTAAGTTTGTTTAACCTAATCAGAGAAGCACCATTTATATTGAGACATAAAGCAGGAAGAAGAGATAGATGGCAACTTTAAATCTCCTGTAAATAAAATATTTACGCCTTTTTTAAAGAGGAAAATAAGATACTTAATAAAATGACGAAAGCTTAATCTTATCCAGAATTCAGACATGCCTACTTCATTTGCTCAATAGGGCTCAGCCAGCAAGGTGACTGCAGATTATGGGGAAACTGAGAAGGAGAGACTTGCTCTTCAGCGCCAGCTCCATAAATTGCACTATCAGTGTGGAGTAAGTGCTTTTGCTGTTAGATCTGAGGGGAGTCAGACGTTTAAATATGACACTTAATGGTATCTTCTTTTTAAAAAATAACAGTTATTTTTTTTCCTCTCAATTTCTGGTACTTGACCAGAATTAACTTTGAAATAATATTTTTCATTGATCAGGATTTCAAAAAACAGTTGAAAACAGTAACTTTTCGGGAGCAAGAAAATCAAATGCAGATTAAAAAGAAAGATAAAATCATTTCATCTCTTAACCAGCAAGTGGCTTTTGGAATCAGTAAGGTTTCCAAGTAAGTATAAATCTGTTGATAACAAGAAATCCTGGGTTTTTACTGTCACATACATGATCTCTAATAGACCGCTGTGTAGCCACTAGGTGGCAGTGTGACTACACATTAAGAACTGTCCATAGGCTGCAACCAATTGTATTTGTTGCCTTGCCTACTAGAGTGAGAAGTAAGCAACTGCTCACTTTGTATAGAGCTGAGAAAAATACTGAAGCAATAAAAGTACACAAAAAAAAGGACGATGTCAATCTTACATATCGTACTGCTTACTTTCTTATATATCTTATGCTTAAGTAAGCTTAATTGTCTGTACTTACTCCTGTCCACTACAGTGACAAAGCTTGTATTTCTTATTTTTTACTTGAAAGAAAGAGACCTGTTTTTGTTTTGTGGCTTCTAAGAAGCTTATATTAAAGATGAGCTGGTAGTCTCAGAAATCCAGTAGTGAGTAGTCCAACCAGCATTAAAATCATTGTTTCAAGATTTTATCATTACAATTAGATTAACCCAAACTATCTATCCTAAGAGTCTGAACATATCAGAGACTTAGAGAGGAATGTGGTTTTGCTCTAAATCTCCTCATATTGAAGCAAATTAACAAATAAATATAAAAGCTTGTTTTTGAGAATACAGTGGCACAAAGGGAGAACATAAAAAATGTGAATATGTATCAACCAAAAGTGTTATTTTGCATTTCTGTTCATAGCTTCTTGCATATCAAATTTTAAGCTTATAGCAAGTTGTATTTTCTGATTTATAGAAAATTTTCACTCAGTCTTCCCCTTTAGGTCATATGAGTGACTCCTCAGTTATAATTTATAGTTTTAATTAAAATTCTTCTTTGCATATAGCCTAATTACTTCCATATTTAAGGTCTGATTTTTTCAGATCTTAGTCTTTGATAATTTGCTTGACTTGATATAATATCTTTTTAAGGAACTTAAAGTTCTCAGTCCCACAACAGGCCTAGAAAATCAGAAGATGCCATCTCTGTTTTCTAGTGGGTTAACTAAAGTACAAATACCTGAAAGATGTTTTTTTCAAGTCATTGAACTGAGGACACAAGATAAAACTTCTCTCCACTTGCCAATCTACTAGTTCAGAACTTAGTTCCTCTTTCTTTGGGGAGTCAGTCAAACAGACATCAGAAACAGAAAAGATGAATTTCAGAAGGACCAGGTATGGAAGTCCAGCAATTGTTTTCAGGCTCAAAATTTGTGGTTCAAAACACACATACTTAGTCCCTCATCAGCTATGTGCAGAGCTGCCCTGACTATGTTACCAAGAAATAATTTCTAATATTTAATGACTTTTTTTCCCCTAATTTGCTTAGATTACAGCGTCAAATGCATGCTAAAGGTAATGAAATCAAGAACCTTAAAGATCAACTTTCCATGACAAGGTACATGTCAAAATGTAGCTTTTGCTTTGGTTGGGTGCACCGTCTCTGAACTCTGTATTCTAGTCAGCATGCTCTGGCGTGGATTGTTGCTGTTTGGTGCCACCGTGAATCAATTCCGACTCATAACGACCCTATGAGTAGAACTGCCCCATGGGGTTTCCTAGGCTGTGTTCTTTATGGGAGCAGATCACCAGGTATTTTCTCCCACAGAGCTGCTGGCCGGGTTTGAACCTCCGGTCTTTTGGTTAGCGGCTGAGCTCTTAACCATTGCACCACCAGGGCTCCTTCTGGCTACAGTAACCATGTAATTTATCATCAAAACTGAGGAATGTTGTAGCATGAAAGTGAGCAGTATTAATAATCACATTGGGACAATAGGTGGCCTAGGCAAATTGGGAGGTATGGTAGGGCACCTTAGCTCTGGTCACAGAAACTGCTCAGAGAGATTAAATCACCAAAGTTATGGTCCCACAACAAGGTACTGTCAAGGTCTAGGGCTTCAGAGCTCTTATCTCTTTACCTTAATCAATACTACTAGATGTGACTGCCTTATGAAACTGGCTAAGTTTTATCCTGATTCATATATTTTTGCCTGTAGTTATTTTTTTATATCAGCTTTATTTACATATGATTCACATAGCATAAAATTCACTCTGTTAAAGTGTAAAATTTAGTGGCTTTTAGTATATTCTCACAGAGTTGTGCAGCTATTATCACTGATTTCAGAACATTTTCATCACCCCAAAAAGAAACCCAATGCCATCAGCACTCACTCTCCATACCCCTCCCCCAGCTTAGGCAACCACCCATCTACTCCCTGTCTCTGAATTTGCATAGTCTGGATGTTTCCTATAAATGGAATCATTTAATATAAATGGAATCATATAATATGTAGCCTCTTGTGACTGGCTTCTTAGCATGTTGTTTTTAATGCTCATCCATGCTTTAGCATGTATCAGTACTCATTCCTTTTTATGTATAAATAATATTCCATTGTATGAATGTACCGTATTTTGTTTATTCATTAATCATCTGATGAACATTTGAGTTGTTTCCATATTTTTGACTGTTATGCATAATGCTTCTGTGAGCACTCATGTCAAGTTTTTGTGTGGACATGTGCTTTCAGTTCTCTTGGGTATATACCTAAGAGTGGGATTGCTGAGTCTTATGGTAATTCTATATTTAGGATTTTGAGGAACTGCCCAACTGTTTTCCAAAGTGTTCTCACCATTTTACAATCCCACCAGCGGTATACGAGTGTTCCAATTTCTCTACGTCCTCATCAACACTTGTTATTGTCTTTTTATTTTAGCCATTGTAGTGGGTGTGAAGTGTTATATCATTGTGGGGTTGTTTTTTTTTACTCTCAGAGGCCAGTGTTTATTTATTTTTAACTTTTCAGTAAGAACATTTTCAAAGATTCACAAAAGTAAAGAGAATAGTACAATGAACCCGCAGTACCCATCACCCACATTCAGGATTAAATGATTGTCAACTCATGGGCCAGTTTTGTTTCTTCGTAGCCCTAATTGCTTCCCTCCCCTTCTGTTGTTTGTTTGTTTTTTTTTTTTAAATAATTTATTGAGGTAAAATTCACATAAAATTAACCACTTTAAAGTGTACAAGTCAATGGCGTTTAGTACATTCCCAGTGTTGTGTAACCACCACGTCTGTCTAGTTCTGAAACGTTTCTGTTATTCCTCAATAAACCACTTGCCGATTAGAAGTTTATCCCCATTCTCTTCTCCTCGCAGTCCCTGGCACCACCAGTCTGCTTTCTGTCTCTGTGGATTTCGCCATTCTGGATATTTCACATAAATGGAATCATATAGTATGTCAGCTTTTGTGCCTGGCTTCTTTCACTTAGCACAATATTTTTGAAGCCCACCGATGTTGTAGCATGTATCACTACTTCACTCTTTTTTATGACTATTAAATAATATTTTGTTGTATGTATGTATCACAGTTTATCCATTAGGCTGCTTCTGCCTTTTCGCTATTGTGAATAGTGCCGCTGTGAACATTTGTGTATAAGTTTTGTCTGAATATGTTTTCAGTTGTTTTGGGTATATTCTTGGGAGTGGAATTGTTGGGTCAATGGCAACTCTATGTTTAACTTTTCTGAGAAATCATCAAACTGTTTTCCACAGTAGCTGAACAGTTTTACATTCCCACCAGCAATGCACAAGGGTTCCAATTTCTCCACATCCTTGCTAACACTTGTTAAGTTTCTGGTCTTTTTTTTTTCAATTGTAGCCATCCTAGTGGGTGTGAAGTGGTACCTCATTGTGGTTTTATTTTGCACTTTCCTAATGATTCATGATGTTGAGCCTTATTAGACATTTGTACATTTTTATTTTTGAGACATGTCTATTCAGATCCTTTACCTACTTTTTTAAAGTTCAGTTTTTTTGTCTTATTATTGTAAAGTTTTAAGAGTTCTTTGTATATTCTGAATACAAGTCCCTTATCAGATACATGATTTTCAAATACTTTATTCCATTCTGTGGGTTGTCTTTTCACTTTCTTGATGGTGTCCTTTGATGCACAGAAGTTTTTAATTTGATGAAATCTAATTTATCCATTTTTTCTTTTATTCTTGTAGGCATAATTTTTCACAGTGTTTAATGGCATAGTAATTGATTCCTCTTGTATTGGCTTAATATACCTGTTGGAATATTTTATGATTTTTTTTTCCCCCTAAAACAACTCAGGCCTTAATGATATTTAGAATATACTGTTTCATCAAGCTTCTCATCAGTGTTTGTCAGGTGCACAAGCATCAAGATTTCTAATAATAAAACACTGACAATAGCTTTTGTGTAATATTTTGTGAAAATATTACAGTGTTATATTTTCAATTAACTCTTTTCATTAAAGACAGAATGGGATTCAAATGTGGAAAGCTGAGATGGAATAGAGAAAGAAAAAAAAGAAACTTCACAGGTAGCCAGTTTCCATCAATGTCCTTCATATGTGATATTTTTACCACCATCTCCCTCTCTCTCAAGCTTTAGGATTTGTTTTCATTTTAGGTATTGAATGTGATCACTGAAATAACTAGTATAATATTTTATGCAATAACTTAGCTTTATAATAGGGATAATAAAAACCTTTATGGTTGCTATTGTTGGCATAGAAAAAGGCTTGTCTAAACCTTATTTTATGTAAAATTTATTAATAATAGCTAACATTTATTTAGTACTTATGTGCCAAACACAAAGTGTCATATGTAGATTATCTTAATGAATTTTCACAACTATTTGAGATAAGATTACAGTTTTCTCCATTTTTAAATATGAGGAAACTGAGGCAAAGAAAAGTTAAGGAACTTACCCAAGGTTTCACATTTAGTAAGTTATAGAGCTTAGATTCATCCTAAGGCAGTTGATTTCAGAGCCAAGTTTTTAGTCATAATACCTATGCTAATGATATTAATTAAAACTTCTAGTCTGTTTATGATAGGGAAGGATGGTTAAGCAGTGTCTTCTCTTGTACTGTATATGCTGTGTACTTCTCCAAAAAGTCATTTCCTGCTCACTGTATATCTTGGCATCTTTTTTACCCTGAATAAGATGGAAAAGACTGTTTTTCCTTGCTGTAATGTTGCTGACTCTTTCATGGTCGAATATTTCAGATCTCAGTGGGAAGTGGAGAAGCATAACCTGGAAAGCACAATTAAAACATACCTGAACAAACTGAATGCAGAAACCAGCAGAGCTTTAACAGCTGAGGTAAAAAAACAAAACCAAAACAAACAACAACAACCAACAGGGTGGGTCAGGGGAGGCTGATATATCAGAGAATTGAAAAAAAGACTGCTTCTTGAATAAAGAGATATATGACATCTGAGGACCAGCCAGGAAAACACAGCTCAAAATCTAACTCGTTGGTGCACTGTGCATGAATACTTGAATATTGATGATCTTATATTGTATTTTCACCAGTGACTCCAAGAAATTGGTCTACTGACGTGTGGATAGCAAATGCAGGCATCTTAGGAAAATCTCATGAAGCCAGATTATTAAACTAAATTTCTAAGAATAACATTTCACTGTGGCTGTAATGCCTCCTTTTTCTTCTCCTGCTCCCCTGATCTCCCCAAAACACATACCCATCATATACCCCGAAGTCAGAAATGCAGCCTACCTTCCAGACCCCCTAAAAGTTACCTGATATCTTCTGGGTTAGCCCTGAACACTATAGACAGTTCTCTCAAAAGAAACGCGATTGTATGTGTGCATGTAATTTTTATTTATAGATAATGAAACTTGATATACAATAAGATTCAAATTTTTAGAGAGCCCGCTGACGTTAAAAGCATTACAAAACCTTCCCACCTCTGTCATGGTTAAGCTCTATTCTCTAGCAGAGTACTTGGGATTCTGAGGTCACCAACCAAGGAGTGATATCTGAACCAAAAATCCCTGGAGAGTAAGTTGGTGGGGTATTAGCTTTAATAAAAGCTCAGATTACCATAAAAGCTCATTTAATATGCTTTGGTTTTCATTGCTTTTAGTCAAAAAGGAAAATTGCTTTCTACTTTTAGTATTAATTTCAGAAAGGAAGCACTTTCTAACATTTGATGCTATCTAAGAGTGTAATAAGCTGTTTTTAGTCAACATTGAGCAATTGATAGTAACAAAACAAAACAGGCTAAATGGTCCTGCATCAGTAACGGTACGCTGACTTCTGCTTTGGGAGAGAGATGTGCCTCGATGACCTCCAAGACACATTTGGTCATTATGGTTCTGGATGGTCTGATTGTTTGCTTACTTCACCAATAAAAATAGAATAGATCTCAGGCCTTCTTTTGAGTGTGCTCAAATTTTGCTGAATGATAGAGTCACCAGAGAGCTTTTAAAAACCGAGATGCCTAAGCTGTACCCAGTATTAATTACATTAAACCTCTGGGACCAAGGCCTCATTTTTTAGTTTCCCAGATGATTCAAGTAAATGTGCAGGTTTGTCAACTAATGTTCTAGAATGTTTATCAACCCAGAAACCATAGGATAAAAAAGCAGAATCGCACTGATCAAAAAGTTTTTATAATTTCAAGAAGCCCAGGTGCATTTGGAAGAGGTTGAAAAATAGTCTGAAATTTTCTTGAGGTGATTGAGAAGAGAATGTGTTTATTTGCAAGTGCTGAGAAGGACATCCTCAGCTTCTCTCTCTCTCAAAAACCCGCAGGTGTATTTCTTACAGCGTCGTTGTGATTTTGGGTTGCTTCATCTAGAGCAGACCGAAAAGGAGTGTCTCAGTCAGCTTACCAGGGCGACACACATGGCAGCAAGGTACCCTTTCCCTTGGAATGCCCCTTGATTTCAGAGATGTTTGCAAAGGGCCCAAGGTTGAACATAGTCTGTGATGTGTTTTACGTATGTGATATGAACTTTGTAGTGATGAGGCCACCTTGATTTTTTAAACCTCAGAAGTCCTTAAGTTACTTTGATGCTTTGGCTCTGTTGCCTCCGTTGAAGTGCTGTGAAGTCTCTCAGGGCCATCGTGGCTACTGCCGTGGTTTTTCCTTTCCTCCGGGTGAAACAGATCAAAATCGCAGCCAGAGACATACTTAAAGACCAGACATTTACAAAACAAGGTGGATTCTAATTGGAAAACTTTTTATAATTGCTTTCCCTTCTCATGCTTGATGTTAAATATTTTTGGAATAGGATGGGAGAAATATCACTATTAACACCTAAAATCATGTTAAAGGCTGTTTCCTGCTGTACTCTAGATGAGTGGTTTTCAAATGTTGGACAGTCGATATCAAATCCTCCTCAAATTTATAATTTATGGGGAATACCTTCAAACTTAACGAAACTGTAATTAACTTAGAATCTCTGGGACCAAGTCATCATTCTTTCTTTTTTTAATGATCATGATTAGTCTTTAATTGTAAAGAATTAGAATCTCTGATGTGTTAACAAGAGTCCCAGGATATGCTGATGTGCATTTGGGTTGGGGAATCCCTGTTGTAAGTGATTTGTCTGTCTACTTGATAGAGGGATTTAGAATTTTATGAGGTCACTTTGTAAGAGAAAATCTCATTGATAACTTGTCCTGCCCTTTTAAAGCTATTATGGTGGAGGATACTGGTGTGGGGATGTTATAACAGATAGAGCCGTTTGAAAGTCCTCATGAAATCTTTCTTCAAGAGATGACAGACCCCAAAGCTGTTCTTGCTTTAGTAAAGTCATTTGGCGAGCATGGATTATCAGCGTCTGCCATGTTGGTGCAATTTATGCACTATACAAAGCCAAAATCTGATTCTCCCAGAGAAGGTACTTCTTTCTAATGTGTCTTCCCGGAGAGAATACCTTTTTTCCAATTTGCAGAGAAGCCAGATAGGCCAACCACAGCCATGTGAAGATGATATAAAACCATCTTCCAAGATGAGTCAAACTCTTAGAGATTCTCATACATCTCTGAGAATATTAGATGAATAGGGCAATTTCCCTGTTTGGCCTTGTCTTCATTGGAGGAATTCCTTTACAAAGATTTTAAAACACATCCTAAGAAATGATGCCACCAAGATAGAAAAATACTTGGTATTCTAGAAGCATAAGTTATATTTGCTGTTGAAACAAGAATTGCTATATAGTTTTTGTTTTTATTTGTAATAGCAAGCCCTTCCATACATCTTCTTGCCCACTTGAAGTAATTGTTGGTAAGGAGATAATTTTGTTGATGTTTTGCATTATTTACATATATGCTACAGAACATATTGGAAATTTTTTTGAAACTAAATGGTATATAAGAAGAAAGACCTATCTCATATATCTCTTTTTCTACACCAGCAACCTAGAATCACTTCGATTAAAGGCTGCAGTAGACAGTTGGAATGCCATTGTGATGGATGTTAGAAACAAGATTGCATTCCTCAGGGTAAGCCCTGAAGTACATGTAGAGTGAATTGGCTGAATGTTATAGGTGCTGTATACTTAAAAATCCAACATTAAAAACAATTGTTAGATTTAAGGGAGAACATGTTCCTTCATTCCAGTTATTAACTTTTATGTCTTCCATTTGAGATTGATCGCTTCCGTGTAGTTAATTGTAGACAGCATCCTAGATTCCTATACATGGTCATTTAGATCCTTATTTGATCCCCATATTCCAGGAAATGATGAATTCAAAATGTGCGTCACACCTTGTTTCCCTAGAATTCCAAAACTCTGTCCCAATCAAAAAGAAATGTCTTAACTTGATCTGAATAATAATGTATTTAAAAAATTAAAGGAAAATCAAGCCAACTTGTATGAGTTTCAACCTTAACTTACTATGTAATTATTCCATAATGCATAATAGCAAATTCTTAATTATTGTTTTAATAGAATTAGGACCTTGCTAAAAGTTAGCTAAAGAGATAACCCTTTGAATATTTATTAATTTATTCATTTGGCTTTAGAATGTTTATGCATTTATATTTTAAGGTTGATACAATGTTTTATTTATTATAAAATACATATATTTATTATTATAATGGTGTAATGCTGATTTCTTGGCATGGTTTCACAATACTTTCAGCAGAACAATGAAGTTTAATTGTGCAGAGCTGCCTCCAAAGGCACTACACAGTTCTCCAGCATCTTCCTTCGTGGTCTGGACCATTTCTCTCTCTGACTCTTCCTTATTAGTCTTTAGTGATATTTAGCATTTTTGTTGGGTTTATTCAAAGTTCTGGCCTTGAAAGAATAATCCCGTGTTCTGTTTCAAGCATATGTCTCTGTGTGGAAGTTTCTAAATGTTTTGATTTATAAGAAATTTTTTCAGCTCTCGTGGGTTGTTTATAAAATAATATAGTAATGAAAAATGGTGACAGTGCCAAAAAAATGTTGAAAACATGTTAAGCTTCAAGGAGTAGTGTCTCATTTTGGACAGAAATTCAAGGGAATAAAACACAATTAAATGTGGAGCTAGAGTTAGCTAGAGTTATAGTTTTTGGAATAAACAAAATGTGGGTATTGAATGAATCTTCCTAAAATTTCCACTCCAGTTTTAAAATGAACAATGTTTGTTACAAATAAATTTGCTTGTTTTTCTATTTATTAGCTGCTATGCTATTTATAGCTTCTTGATCCTTTCAGATCTTTATTCACTTTATATCAGTGGTCCCTATTTCGGGCCTAAAGATTATGGGAGGGCTGAGGAATTATCACATGGGATCTGTGAATTATGTGTCTCTGTATTTTGTCAATCAACAGACACTTCTAAAAATACAGCTGTTTACTTGTAGGGATAATGGTCTATAGAGTTGTTTTATGTCAAAAAGAGGTATTCAATGCTGAAAAGGATTTATAGTGTATTATTCAAAACTGTACGTTAATTATTCCCATATGCTGTTTTTGAAGTTGATTTTACCCTAAATATTGTTTCCCTTCTTCCATCAGACACAGTACAATGAACAGATTAATAAGGTGAAGCAAGGGTTTCCCTTGAGTACCTTGCCTCCGGTACAGCTTCCACCACCACCACCCAATCCTGAGATACTGGTAAGAAATATAAGATTTTGAAAAATTGCCATCTTCATCCTGATAAAATGATAAGGCTGTAAAACACTGAAAATACATAATGTTTAATGTGTGTTCCAAATGGAATCGTACATGTTGTGAATAATAATAATTATGTCTCCAGATTATGAAATTAGTTGGCTGGTTCAAATGAGGCCAAAGCTTAGGTTGCATCACTGGATTTTAGTCTTGTATTTGATATCTAAAGAAGAAAGGTTTCTCATTTACCCTATCAACTTCAGCTACATCAAAGGAGATAACCAGTGAATACTCAGAATTCCCAATATCCCCTGTAATAGTTTCCTGGGGCCAACATAACAAAGTATCACAAACTAGGTGGCTTAAAACAATGGAAATTTATTCTCTCACGGTTCTGGGGGCCAGAAGTCCTAAATCAGGCTGTTGGCAGGGCCATGTTCCTTGAAGCTTCTGGGGGAGAATCCTTCCTTGTCTCTTTTAGCTTTTGGTAGCCCCAGGAGTTCCATGGGTGTTTTCTATTAAGTGCCTTAGAATTCTTCCAGCCTCTTCCCATTACCCAGTTCCAAAGGCACTTCCACGTTTTTAGGTTTTGTTACTGAGCACCTCACCTCCCAGAACCAAAATCTGTGTTAGTGTCCTAGAGCTGCCCTGACAAAGCGTCACAAACTGGGTAGCTTCAAACATCAGGAATCAGTTCTCTCACAGCACTGGAGGCTAGAATCTGAGCAAGGTGTGGACAGCACCGTGCTCACTCTGAAGCCTTTAGAGGATTATCCTTCCTTGCCTCTTCCAGCTTCTGGTAGCCCGAGGCATTGCTTGGCTTGTAGCTGTATAACCCCAGTCTCTGCTTCTGTCTATATGTGGTCATCTTCCCTGTGTCTCTTTCCTCTTCATATAAGGACACCAGTCACATTGGATTAAGGGCAACCCTACCCCAGTATGACCACATCTTAACTCATTACATCTGCATCAACCCTATTTCCAAATGAGGTCACATTCTGAGGTTCCAGGAAGGACATGAATTTTGGGGGACACTGTCCAACCCAGGACACCCTCATGTGACCCCTAGATGACTGAAAATCTCAGCTTATTACTATAACAGGCTGCAGACTTCACCTCTCCACTTCTGCTTTAGATTTTCTTTTCCTTGACTTTTACCTTCTTTTTTGTTTCCAACAGCAATGACAGCTCTCACTTATACCCCTTCCCTGCTTATTATTATGGGTCAATGAATCTTAGATAAACCAATCCATATACTCTACTGTCTTTTCTCTTTCTGGGAACATAGTACCTTAACCTAATAAAGCCGTACAGCCTTCCAAAAGATCCTTTAGGAGGGAAAAATTAGGGGGTGTTTTTCATTGTCATAACAGATCTGGGGTAGGAAGGGACGAAGGTGTGATATTTTAGGAAAGATGATTTTTTTTTTCCTAAAGTTTATTTTGTTGTTGTTATTGGGAATATACACAGCAAAACATACACCAATTCAACAGTTTCTACATGTACAATTTAGTGACATTGATTACATTCTTCGAATTGTGCAACCATTCTCACCCTCCTTTTCTGAGTTGTTCCTTCCTCATTAACATAAACTCACTGCCCCCTAAGGTTTCTGTCTAATCTTTCAAGTTGCTGTTGTCAGTTTGATCCCATATAGATAGTTCTTAAAACTGCATAATGCTCAAGGCAGGTCTTTCTTACTAGTTAAGCTAAACTATTGTTTGATTTTAAGAAGACTTCAGGGGATATTTTTGTTTAAGATTTAATATTATCTCAGGGCAATCGTTTAGGAGTTCATCCACCCTCCACGGCTCCAGAGAGTCTAGAGTCCATGAGTGTTTGAAATTCTGTTCTCTATTTTCCCCTTTTGATCAGGATTCTTCTATGGAATCTTTGATGAAAATGTTCAGTAATGGTAGCCAGGCACCATCCAGTTCTTCTGGTGTCATGGCAAAGGAGGCAGTTGTTCTTTGAGGCAATTAGCCACACATTCCATATCCTCCTCCTATTCCTGACTCTCCTTCTTCCTCTGTTGCTCCAGGTTAACAGAGACCAATTGTTGTGCCTTGGATGACTGCTTGTAAGATTTTAAGACCCCAGGCACTACACAATGAACTAGGAGGTAGAACAGAAGAACTAAATGCGTTATTAGGTCAGTTAACTGGGATGTTCCATGAAACCATGACGCTGAACATCAAAACCAAGGAACCAAATCCCATGAGGTGTTTGGATGTACATAAGCAGCCTCAACAGCTACTTTTTTTTTTTTTTTTGTCATTGTTGTAAATACATAAGGCAGATGACTTTTGACATCAGCTGTCCTGGTTGTAGTAAAACCTTGAAAATATTGTTTCTACTCATGGTTGAGTGTAACAAAGAACGTAAACCTTATGTGAACTGTGTGGAGTTACACTATGTCTTTCAAAAGCAGAATCCTGTGCTAAAAGCATCATATGATACATACTTGGTCTTTAGTTTAGAATAATAGTATTGCCTTTTATAGTTTTTGTCAATTCAGTTTCTGTAGTAAACTACTTGAATATTATTATCCCAGAACGGAACACCATCACACACAAATACTCTCATAAGGTGTTAAGTAGCTGACAGAGAAATCCCAAGGAATCTCTGCAGTTCTACAGAAAGTAAGATGTATTCTTAGTAGGATTATGGGAAATTCTGTGCCTTCTGCTCATGGCTGAACAGCTACCTGTAGGTTGTAGCTAAACTTTCCCATGACTCTAAATATAAAATGGCTTCAGGGACTCAGGAATTAGATACAGAGTTGTTCTAGAATAGGCTAACTTCAACTACTTTCTTATCTAAGCATCATGGGGCCATGATGTTCTCTTTGAACATTAAATCCAGCCAGATAGTCCAGATATTAATTAGCTCTCAGGTCCTTAAAATAAACTTTGGTGTTTCCATGAAGCAGTCCAGCATAAGTGTCAGGTGTTTCGCACCAGTAAGTCTCTATAGCTGAGACACATAGTGAGACTTTGACCTCTAGACCCTCCAGACCTGCACCCCGTCACACAGAGACAACTTGGTTTCTTGTGTGGAATTTCTGAGTATCAGTATTGTTCACCAACATGGACAACACTTATTGGGATTCATAGTCCTGTATATTGCAGTTGGGAGGGAAACTTGACGACTACGTAATCCAGTTTTCTCATTTTGTAGATTGATAATGGGAATCAAGGTGACCCAGCTAGGCAGAGAGAAAGCAGGTGTAGAACCCAGTTCTCCTTCTCTCATTCCATGCTCTCTCCAGTTTGTTTCACTGCTCACTGCTTTTCCAAATATTCCTGTTTACCTAATGTTATATACTTTTTAAAAAATGTGTTATATGCATGACGAATCTGGGAAACATCTCACAACATGGATGAATCTGGAAGGCATTATGCCAAGTGAAATAAGTCAATCACAAAAGGACAAATCTTGTATGAGACTATTATAAAAACTCATGAAAAGGTTTACACACAAAAAGAGACAATCTTTGTTGGTTATAAGGGAGGAGAGGGGTGGGGAGGGAAAAACACTTAATAGACAATAGATAAATGGTAACTTTGGTGAAGGGTAAGGCAGTACACAATACTGGGGAAGCCAGCACAGCTTGACCAAGGCAAGGTTGTAGAAGCTTCATATACACATCCAAACACCCTGAGGGACTGAATTACTGGGCTGAGGGCTGTGGGGACCATAGTCTCGGGGAACATCTAGCTCAATTGGCATGACATAGCTTATAAAGAAAATGTTCTACATCTTACTTTGGTGAGTAGCGTCTGGGGTCTTAAAAGCTTATGAGCGGCAGTCTAAGATAAGATACCCCACTGGTCTCACCCGCCTGGAGCAAGAGAGAATGAAGAAAACCAAAGATATAAGGGAAAGATTAGTCCAGAGGACTAATGGACCACAAGTACCACAGCCTCCACCAGACTGAGTCCAGCACAACTAGGTAGTGCTTGACTACCACCACCTACTGCTCTGACAGGGATCACGATAGAGGGTCCCGGACAGAGCTAGAGAAAAATGCAGAACAAAATTCTAACTCACACACAAAAAGAGACCAGACTTAATAGTCTGACAGAGACTGGAGAAACCCCAAGAATATGGCCCTCGGACTCCTTTTTAACTCAGTACTGAAGTCACTCCTGAGGTTCACCCTTCAGCCAAAAATTAGACAGGCCATAAAACAAAACGAGACTAAATGGGCACACCAGCCCAGGGGCAAGGATGAGAAGGCAGGAGGGGACAGGAAAGCTGGTAATAGGGAACCCAGGGTCGAGAAGGGGAGAGTGTTGACATGTTGTGGGGTTGGCAACCAGTGTCACAAAATAATATGTGTACTAATTGTTTAATCAGAAACTAATTTGCCCTGTAAAGCTTCATCTAAAATACAATAAAAAAATGTCATATGCTTTGTGTGTGGATTTCAAATCACTGTTTTCCCCCAAATATTGCTCTGTGAGTTTAGATCACTGTCTATATAAATATCTAAGTGTGTAGCTGCTGTTGTTTTTATCTTTTCTATTTTAGATGCAGCAGTTCTTGGGAAGACCCCTTGTGAAAGAATCTTACTTCAGACCTATACTCACTGTTCCTCAGGTGCCTGCAGTTTGCCCTGGAGTCATCTTTGTACCTGGCCAACCTAGAGCCCCCCTGGTACAGAGCCCTTCTTGGCAGGATAGACGTTAACTAGTTCTTTATTGCTACAGTGGGCTTCTTGAATGAATGTCATCTCCTTGTTCATTTATTTGATATAATGATGGTGATGATGGTGGTAATGATGATAAATGGATGGCAATTGAATGGATACTTCTGTATGAGGCACTGTGGTGAAGCCTTTGCATATATTTAATTATTTCAGTAGCTGATATTAGCTTAATTTCTGGATACAAAAATAAGTATATTTTATCCTAGAGAGTCCTTACAATTACAGTTTTACTTCTATAACAGGCAACAATCCAGGGTAGATTGATATTTTAATAGATAATTTGTTTTTAGGATCGTTGTTGCATAGATTGATAAGCAAAGAAGCTGAATCATGACAAATGAATTATACCACAAAGCTAAAGAAGAATTTTGTTTACATGTGTATCAGGAGTGTTTCAACTTTATAAACAGACTATAAATATCATCACCTTGGAAAATATTATACTATAAAGTTATAAATTTTCCTAGCTACATATGGTCATGACTTTTTTTTTAACTAAACAGATTTCATGGACGTGTCCCATGCTATCTATCCCATCCATCTATCCCATTCTGTTTTTAAGGACTTCATTAGATGTGTTATAACTTATTTAGTCATTACCTGATTAACTGACATTAAGTTGTTTTCAGTTTTTCACGGTTATAAAAAATACAGCAATTACTTGCACAGTATTTCCGTACATATGTGGAATTACTGAAGCTAGCATGCCCTGTTTTTTAAATAAGGGTAACTATAAACTATTAGAAATATTGTTGTGCTAGGTTTAAAAAAAACATACTCTAAAAAGGGAACATGTATATCAGTATAACTTTTCTTCATTCTTCATTCCACCCACTGTCAGTTCCTCTGAGGTTTGGAAATGTCATGCTGGCATTTTAGTATTTGAAGCTGCTGAGTGTATTTTTCCCATGTATAGTGGCTCTGCTGTCCCTCCAGATGACTGGGATAGCCTGGACTGTTCCGGAGCCTATGGCAGAGGCCGCGTCTCCCAGTGCAGGTCTGGGAAGTGACCCTCACACGACGAATTGGGAGAGGATTATGGACAGAATGAAAACTGCCTTTCCACAGAAGTCCAGGTACCTTAGTATTTATTTAGTGGTGCACACTGATCATAAGCTATAGTTTCCATAGCTATAATTGTGGCAATGAAACACTTCAAAGAAACTTAACACCCAAAAAATCACAGGCATTTCTTTATCATGACCTTGGTTAAAAAACAAACATTACCGTTGAGTCTATTTTGACTCATAGCAACTGTTGTAGGATGGAGTAGAACTGCCCCATAGAGTTTCCAAAGCTGTGATCTTTACAGAAGCAGACTGCCACATCTTTCTCCTGTAGAGTGTCTGGTGGGTTCAAACCGCTGACCTTTTAGTTAGCAGCCAAGCACTTAATCACTGCACCACCAGAGTTCCAACCTTAGTAAGGAAAATGAAATCTTACCACAAAGGGATAGTGGGATAGAAATGCTAATCCTCCTCACTAATACTAATCTTGAACCATGAGAGAATAACTTTTCTTAATTTAGGTTTGCTCATCTGCCGAAAGTACAGCAAGTTGTAAACCTATCCAATTTTAATGCCACCAGCTACAATTACCTTAATAACCTATTTCCAAAGTGAATTTTAAGTTGATCGTATGCTACGTAAACCCAAACATCGTCAGGTTTTCGTTTTCTATTTCCTTAATTTTATGGAGGCTCCTTATAGTCTCTTTCTTAGGGAACAGAGTTAAATGCAAGAAAGCATGATTTCACTGTGTCTTCCATAGTTCTGACTTTAGCAAAAGGTTATTTAATTCGATTCCTATAGAAATGAAGATTCTTTATCTCTGCTCTTATATTCAAGGGAATAATTCTAGTTTTTACCAGTATTTTCTTGAATACCAACTTTTATTTTATGTATATACTGTTGTGCTTCAGGATTAGATTATGGTTTTATAAATAACATAATAGTGAATAGATAATGAAAATAGAACTGTGACATAGTTGTTATAAATCTAAATGTATGAAATGAATAAATAGTAAATCACGAGTAGTTTTATAATGTTGATACTCACATGACAATTCCTTTGGGAAAGAAAGATATTTATCCTGACCTGTCCTACCAAAAATGTAGATGAACATTTTGGGTCAGTAGACATATTGGTTAAAATAATCCTAGGTTCCTTTATCACATAATTAATGTGTCTTTTAATCTTTGTTTTCCTGTTGTTTTTAATCTTTTTTTCCTGTTTCTGAGCTTTGCAAAAGTAAAAGTATCAACCCTGATAGGAAAGAGAGAAACAAATAGCAACATAGTTAGAAGGAATGTTTTAGCCCTCAGAAAGAGAACACGTGAGAGAGAGGCTACAGAGAGCTCAGTATATACATAAGTAGATAACACACTCAATTGTCACATAGCGAGCTTTCAAAAAACAAAGTTACAGTTTCTTTTTGGGAAGAAAATACATACAAAACTTTATCACTCATAAACACATTAAGTGAACACATTAGTTTTAATTTTGTTTAAGATAAATGCAGATGGACCTGTGATTACTTTTTTAGATCTGAGATCTGAAGTGTTACCTCTATATGCTATGTATCGATCATGTGATATGATTTTACATCTTGTTTGGGGGACGCATCCTCAAGACAGTAGGAAAAATCACCACTACCTCTTCCTTGATCTCTTCTAGAAAGGAGCTCACAGATTTCTTACAAAAGCTGAAGGATGCTAATGGGAAGTCCTTATCTGCAATGACATTTGATGAAATTGTTTGCAAGATTTCCCAACTTATTGACCCTAAAAGATCTCAGGTAAAGAAGCGTTATATCTCTGCCCTCACCTCTAGGAGTTAACTGTTTTAATTAACTCCATAACATGTTAGAAAATCAGTAACCTCTAGTCATACTAAATCATCTATTAAGAGTAAACAATTCAATAACTTCAACTGGACAAATGATAAAGGAAATCGTTTTAAAATACCTACCATGTGGTCAATGTAAAATAAACTGGCTTTCTTGAAATTTACTCTGGGTTACTCTGAATGATTCTGATAGGGTGACATTTTTTACTTATTTTACGGAAAGATTTGTTTAAATTTAAAAAAACCTATAGAGTTATTTTTGTCATTACCTGGCACTATCTCTGTAAGTAATAATTGCCAATATTTTGTTTCAAAGTTTCTCATGAATCTGATTGAACCATTACCCTTTTGCTAATTCTTGCTATGCCCCATTCTGAGCTATTCCTTCAGTTCTTACTGTTTTAGAATAGTTCCAAAAAATTCCAAAAAATAAGTATAATATTCTTACTTTCAGAGTCAAGGTAAATCAGTATCAAATGGGAATTGTGTTTCACCCAGCTATTCACCACAGCCTGATGCTGCCCAGCCCCTAAGACCAGCCCAGAGGCTGCTCAGCTCACAAAGTCCTGCCACATGGGAAGGAGCCCATCATTTGGTGAGACCGGGACTTTTGATTCTGAACACATTTGATTTTGGAAAGGAAATGAGCTGAACTTAACTTCGTTTTCATTCTCCGCAAGAGGAGGAGGAGGAGGAGGAGGAGGAGGAGGAGCCGTGTGTCATCTGTCATGAGAATCTCTCTCCAGAAAACCTCTCTGTTTTGCCCTGTGCTCACAAATTCCACGCTCAGGTAACTCTTTAAACCTGTCCTCTTAATATTTTACCCTTAACCAGCTATGTGAGATTTATGCTGCCTTACTTACAGTCACATGCATGCGTCATCATCCTCTGCTGTGTCCTGAGTTCTCATTGGGTGTAGCCGTGGGCTTTTGGGTACCACACAAGCACCTGCTCTCTCATACCTAGGCACGGATTGCACCATGCTTTCTCAGCTCTCCAGACACCCTATAAGAGAAATGGCCAATTTTGAGATTTAAATGGCACAGAGTAGGCAGTTCCTTTTAATAGACTGGGGGGAATGTTGATCGCCATGGTATTTTAGCGGCAGAACTGGCAACAGTGCACTTCACCTTGATGTGCTATGAGTATCACATACTGTCCTTTGTCTGGAAACTTACGTCCACAGCTAGTAATGTCCCCCTACCATTATAAAGCCTCAGACTTATCTTAGCAGTCTGTCTAGGCTCTTGTATTTATCTTTGAAGATGCTCAGACTGGAGCATTTGTTGTCATAAGAATGTGATGCTGCCATATCTTTTGTTGATTCTTGGTGTTTATACAGATTAATTCCTGGTGCTGCTGCTGTGCTAGCGCTAAATATACCATTTATGGTCCAAGTTCTCTGTTGCAGAGACATAATTTAACACAGGAAAAGAAAATCTAACACAGGAAAGGTTTCTCAGGGAAGTGAACAATAGCCAGCTCATTCAAACCATATCTGTAAAACATCATTTTGAAGATACGTGTACCTGGTACAGAATTCTATTTTGCATCTGTTCTGATATGAAGAGATATACTCAAAATGACCAGTCTCAAATGATCCAGGAAAGATACTTAACCACCAGATATTCCCATTTGTGGTTTTTAAATCCAGCTTATTTAGAAAATAAATTTTAAACAAAACTTATTTTATTCTTTGTCATTGCCCATTTGATAGAAAGCAAGTATTTTATTCAGTTTCCTTTTGAGGGTTAGAGTTGGTAGGCCTCATATATACTGCCTATTCCTAATCCTCTCATATCTGACCTGGCCTTCTTTATTCAGGCAGGTAAAAATTAATTTGTTTTTGGAGAGCCATTATTCAGGAAAATGACTTAACAGATAGTTCATGACCAAGGTGTACTACCACTGTTACCCAAGAAAGAGCAATCTGAGAAGCATATCCATCATGTAGGAATTTTGACTTTAAAATACCATATGCTCTTGATACCAGTTATTTATGACTTTTTATGTTTAGTTATGACTTTCTCTGGATTATGAGATGAGAACAACATATAATAAAATAGAGAGAGAATATAAATATACCAAGTTTCCCTGATTTCCTTGTCAGAAGAAAGAACTGCTATTCGTTTCCCAAACTTTTGAGATGATTCTGAAAATCAAGGTTGGGGCTTCAGGATGCTAATAGAATATAATGGTTAAAAGAATGTGATCCGCTGTTACCAGCTGTGTTGCTCAGCAAACCTCAGAGAAGGAGCCATGATTGTAGCGTTTGGCTTGGTGATCTAGCAGACAGGGCTTTAAGATCCAACAGAAGACATGTTGATTGGTATCCCTGAGTAACAGCTGCCTCCACTAGGCTAATGTGAGAGACTGACGTGGGTCTTTTTGCTTCCTCAGTGCATTAGACTGTGGTTGATACAGCAGGGGACATGCCCAACCTGCAGACTCCATGTTTTGCTACCGGAAGAATTCCCTGTCACCCCAGTCGGCAGTTGCCCAAGATCTGATCCAAGGGAGTTACTACGCTAAGAAGGTTCAGTTTCAGACTCCAGAATTTGGTGTTTCCTTTTATTATGAGTTGATAGTGTGAGCGGTGTGAAGCACCGTGCTCCTAAAAGCTGTGCAAAGGAAGCGAGCTAATTGTCAAACCTGCCACCAAAGAGGATAGGACAAATCATAAATAAGATGGATTTTAACAGTTACATTATATTTGCTCTTACCTTAGTGGGCATTTTCTTCCAACATAAACGTAACCGTGAGTGTATTTCTTAGAATTGTTTTCTTCTTTTTTCCTTCTTATTCCACTCATCTTTGCTTCTCTGCAAGTATACTACATTTTCATTTTCTCAAATACAGGTGAGCAAAAGGAAAAGAGAAACATAAACAAGTACGACAATGCCATAGATTTTAGTGTTCCTTTTAACTGTTGAAACTACTTACAAAAAATAAAGTTCAGGTATTTGAATTTTATCTCTTTCTTCCCAATTCTTTTCTGTCTTCTAAAATACGTACACACAAAGAGATTATGAGCTCCTTAAGAGAGGGGAGCATGCATGGAGCTGGCTTGTCCTGGTCTGTGAGAGATGACTGGAAGGTTTTGGGAATTCTGCTCGCCAGTTGTCAAATCATTGGTACTCGAAATTGTCCATAGTGGATGTATTTGCACCATGGATATTGTAAATGCTGCAAGTAATGGCTCCTCTCCCCTCAAAGAGCTGGTTGTTAAACATTTACCAGTGTGCCACTGGGACCATGTCTGATTCTTCTTTGTATTCCCAATGCTTTGCATAGTAGATGCCTAATAAATACTCCCAGTTTAGAAAGTAGTAGGACAGAAGTTAATATGCAAAGTAAATCACTTGTTCAGTTGAATAATTGAGAGCTTATATTTATTCGTAAACACGCTATCTTTGAACCTTAATCATTTAAACTTTGGGGGGATTTTTTTCTGCCTTAGAAGTATCTGATTTCACTTTCTGATGCTGCGGGCAGGGGCGGGCGTGTTGTGTTTGGGATTGTCTGATGACAAAGTGGTCACTCCTGGCCTAAGCTGCATATCTACAGCCTGTCACTGAGAACGTTCGTTCTTATAGGTCAGAAACCTATTCTGAAGATAGTATTGTGTAAAAGCTGTAAGTGTTGTACATGTCTGTAGTTTCATAGTTAAGAGAACTCCGAGTTACCTTGTAAGACAAGTGTACCTTGGTTCATATTCACAGTCACAATGTCATTAACTTATGGAAAAGAATAAATGTTTCCTAACTTAGCCACTATTTTATCTGTATATTTCATTGTAAATGTATCTTCAAGGTACTTTAAATCACTATTGAAAACCTCTATTTCTGTTTAATTGTATGCTAAGAGTTTGCTTCTGTAATGAGAATGGACTATAATGTGTGAATGAAAATATCCAAATAGAAAGTAATAAACTAGACATGTAAAATACAAAGAATGTTTTAGAATCACAGAATTCAGAGCTTACAGGGCTTACTAATTATCTATCATCTCGAGATTATGGTCATAACACAGGCTACCTTGTAAGACAAATGTTTCTTAGTTCATGTTTATAACTACAATTTCACTTACCCATGGGAAAGAATAAATGTTTCTTAACTGAAGAACTATTTTATCTGTATTTTTTAGTTTAAATTTATCTTGAAACTACTTCAAATGTCTATTTCAAACTTCAATTTCTGTTTAAATGTTTTTAAACCTATTTTTCTGTGTTGAGAATGGATAGGAAGACATCCAAGAAGGCAGTCAGTCATCTAGCTCTGTAAATGCCAAGAATGTCTTGGCATTATAGAATGTCAGAGCTTGTAGAGCCCTTTGTGATCATCTAGGCTAAAACCTATTGCCGTCAAGTCGATTCTAACTCATAGTGACCCTATAGGAGAGAGTAGAACTGCCCCATATGGTTTCCAAGGCTGTAATCTTTACAGAAGCAGACTGCTACATCTTTCTTACAAGGAGCGGCTGGTGGGTTCAAACCACCGACTTCATGGTTAGTCCTCGTTTTACAAGTATGTCTTGCCCAAGGTCATGTGGCCATAAAATGGCTGAGCCAGTCCTAGTTCTTAAGGCACTGAGTCATATGCTCCCTGCACAAACCCATGCTGTGAGATGGTGTTGGTGTTGAACTGCCATTCTCAGCACTAGGACTGAGACCAGAGTACTTAATAGCTGTTATATTGAGAAAGTGTAGTAGGACAGTGTTCCCAAAAGTCATATATAGTTCTGCAGATGCTGAAGGTGACAGAATTAGTTTCCTCATTTTAATGTATAATTTAACACTAAAGACAATTGTAGGAATCATTCTTCCACTAGCAATGATCCCTGCCATGCCTCTGGCTGATGAGGGATGATCCAGAACTCTCTACCCTGCCCAAAAGTCCACTGAGGGCCAGAGGGCTCCTGAAGTATCTCTATTTACATCAAAAATAATGTGCAAGCACCCTGTAGTATCACTGAAGCTGCTGTTAGAGCATATGTCTTATAATGTATTCCCTCGTATTTATTGATTCCATTTTATAGCTTTTATTTGTTGTTTATTATCTCATTCGATCCCACAATAACTCTGAAATAGATATTATTATCCTTATTTTACAGATGATAAACTGAGGCTCAAGTAAGAGGGAAATAATTTGTCCAAGGTCGTAGCTACAAAGTGGCATTCTAGTGTTGGAATGCAGATCTTCTGTTGCTGGTGTTCTTTTCGTGTGAGTCACAGCAGCCTCTTCCTTGTAAATAATGTCCTTTATGTTAAAATGAAACAGATGATAAACCCACTAATTGTTTTGGACTGGGAACATGGCATTGAGCGCATATGTATTTATAGTGCTAGGACATGTTGAGGAAAGTTAGACTAACTGTTCCGTTTCCTCATGGTCAGGAAGGCCGTATGTCTTGATTTGTTTCGGATGGCTCCAATTAATACCTATTGTCTTGACATACGTATTAATACTGCCTCCTTTTACTCTCAACAGTGTACCAGTTTGGATGAAGAATTATTTGGTAACCATATTTATGGTTAATTCAGAGAAGCTAGCCTTATTTTTTACCAGATTCAGATTTAGCAATACAGGTAATTCCTGACTTGTGACGTATTTGAGTTATGACAAAACACACTTATGACAATCTGTTTTTTAATTTATTTTTGTTATTTTTTACATCTTATAGTTAGTAATGTGTACTACATACACTGTTGCAGTATGTAAAATGACCACATGGGCAACTCTCACTAATTTCCTGACTAGAAGCGCCATCCCCATTCCCAGGGATAATCCAGATGATCCAGAACCTTCCACAAATGGAGTTACTACCACAACTGACCAAATGCCGGCATCATCCATTTATTTATGGACATGTGTATTTTTTTATGTATGTATGTATTAAAATATATCTGTAAGTTTGTATGTAATGTTTCTAATCTCTAAAGATAAATAAAGACCAGATTTATAAAGGAACTGGTAATAAAAGGCAATAATAATGGAAACTTAAAAAAAAAAAAAATGAGGATTCAACCTAAGTTAGAATTTATAACAGAGTCGTTAGACAGAATGGAACCCTGTCTAAGTGGGGGACTACCTATAATCCTCTGCATTTATACAATGCTCCCAGAATACCTTTCAGGTAAGAGTTCTAGGATTTTAGTATCTGGGGTCTGCTCTCACTTATAGCCAGATAAAAACAATAAATTAATGCTAATTTATTATTGAGGTAATCGGTTTCTGATTTATTTATTTATTTTTTTGCATAGGCATAGGCAGTTTTCAGTCACTGCCTGCTTCGTATCGTAGATTTGAAGATTCTCCTCAACAGAGACAATAGGCTCGTGTTCTGGGCCACCACCACACTTACATGTGTGTTTATAAAATAGATATTCCAAGAGACCATCTAGAAGTCTGCATTTGGAGTGAACATCCCAGGTATTTCCATGTGTGCTAAAGTTTGAAAACCACTGGTATTGTAGAAAGTGGCTTTCTCAGACAAGATCTAGGAGTGAATGTTTGAATTCCACCTCTGGCATATGTGATCATGAACAAATTACTTAACTATTTTAAGCCAATTCCTCTTTTGCAAAATGGGGGAAAGACTACTTGTCTGAAAGAATAAATGTTTTTTATCTTCTTTCCCAAAGTAGTAAACATTTTATTAGTCATTTAACCTGCTTAAATTTATTCCTTGATGATAAAATCCTTAAAAATTTTTTTATCTTAACTACTCTGATTAACTATGTCCTACTTCCAATTAGCGTCATGTAGCCCCAGAATGTTGAGTTGTAAGTTTATTACATAAGAATATTATACGACCAAAACATTTGGTTGATTATTTGAACTACAGAAACTTTAAAAATTCTTAATACTGCCTAGCAGGTTGAACAACGACTGGCAGTGATCTGGGAGGTGGAGAGTTTTAAAGATCCTTAGTACAGATGTCGTCTCCAGTTGGGAGACAGAGACACTGAGGAAGGAGTTTGTCCAACATCAGACAACTAACAAACAATAAGCCCATGATTCTAATCTAGATTCCTGACATAAAAGTTTGTGTTCTCTCTCCATAACACTACGCTGCCTTAAAAAAAAAAAGAAAGAAAGAAAAGAAAACTACTTGAAAATCGTCAGGTTGTTTCTTTGGGAAATGCAGAAGAAAAACAAGATTAGTTTTATCACAACGAGATGTCGTTCTAGTGTTCTTACAGTGTTCTTACATCAAGATTGATGGTATTTGATCAGTACTTTAGAAGGGAAAAGTGTAGATATTTCTGCCTTTTCAATTTCAGACACCAAGTTGTTGGTGTTCATTCAGAACATGTCTTCAGGCTTGTATCATTTTTTTTAAAAAGCATTAAATTTTACACTCACTGTTAGGATCTTCTCTGAGTCAGAATCGACTCGACGGCAACAGATTTTTCATTAGGATCCCAGTAGTCCCAGTGGCACAGTGGTAAGCACTTGACTGCTAACTGAAAGGTAGGTGGTTCAAACCCACCAGCCGCCCCTCAGGAGAAAGATGTGGCAGTCTGCTTCTGTAAAGATTACAGCCTTGGAAAACCTGTGTGGCAGTTCTGCTCTGTCCTGTAGGGTTGCTATGAGTCAACTTGACTGCAAAGGATTTGGTTTTTATTAGGATTCCAATATCACAATAACACTTCTGCAGTGTGAATAATCTCTCTCTGTCAGTGTCCTATCTTAACAATGGTATAAGAAACATTAGTATCTTGGGCCTCTTATTTCTGTCTTGAAACTGTAGTATATGACAGACTAAGGGGTAGGCTAATTACAAGCGGTGGTTATGAATTTATGTATTGTTTCAGTCTGAGGAAGAATTTGCTGCAATTCCAAGGGCTTATGACAAAAACCATTCCTCAGCAATTAAAGGCAGAGCATTTTAATAGTAATTTCAGTTAAGAAAAATAGATTGTTTTAGTAAATTATGAACACATTCACAACATAATTGGATCATTACAAAATACACCCAAACAGAAGTTCAAAACCAATGTAAGTTATTGAATATGTGTTTGTATGCATATATATTTTTGGTCTATGTGTGTATATATATATATATATATATATATATATTTTTTTTTTTTTTAATAGCAAGAACCTCTCACTACCCTCTGCCCAACTCTACTTTAAGTCAAGAGTTGCTATGCTCCTTGAAGACAACAGCGCAAATCTTGCACAGATCCTATGATCATGATCGTCAGTGAGTGTTTATTGTATGCTTGTTATATGAGGAAAATATTTTTGGTTCTGGGTATATCAAGAAGCATGGGACACAGTCTTTGGTCTGAAGGAGCAAGTATCTCAACTTTTAAAAGATAACTAATATTAAAATGTAGCATACATTCAATGCCAAAGGAATCACACAGGCAGAGTTGGTCACTGCAAGCTGGGGTAATCGGGAGCTTCTCAAGGAAAATGGAGGAATGGAACTGGATCTGCTG